TTGGACTATTTGGAATGGTATAGAACAAAAAAACTTGCTGGTTGAATAAAAGTAACTTTAAGTCAAAATTTGCCAGGGGTATGAATAATTTCAGCCTTGACTATACACAAAACTAAAAGAAAAACCTCAGTCATAACATATAGTATTTCAGGTAAAGACTTTATGTAGAAAGTTTCAAATAAATTATGTATTGAATAGCAGAATAAATACAATAATAAGTTTTTTCTCATCTTGCAAGATTTGTTAAAGTAACTAACTGATGTTTCCAATGTTAATGTATTTATATTCACAGTGTTTTTCTTATATAATGGATGTCAGGTTATAGCAGTGTACCAGAATAAACAGTGTTGGTTTTACAAACAAGCTGAGACCTTCAGATCAATTTTGTGTCCCAACTGAATTTTAGATTTAAGTTAAGTTGGTGATCTCTCTGATTATGTCTATAAGGTCTTTTAAAGTATCACTACCAGACGAGATTGGGGAATAACAGCGTTGACTTTACATGATAAGCAGCTGTTTTCATGTGATATGTAAATGTTATCATCTATAAACATCAGATAACAATTTTAAGCCACTGTTATTATATCATTATTATTTCTTACAGCTGTTGCAGATTAAATAATAATACCCCTATTGTATACTCAATGTCAGTGTCTGTGGTCATCAGTGTTGGGCAGTAACTCATTACTAGTAATAATATTACAGTAACAATATTACTTTCCCTAGTAACTAGCAGTGTAACTAATTACTAATAATAGGTAATAATATTACAGTTAACCTCCAAAAAATAATTAGTTACAAAGTTACTTTGGTTGTCACCCTCTACTGATTTGACAATTCAATCACATCCTTGGATTCGTTTTTGTAACAGTGGAGGAAACTAGTTTTGAAAATGGAAATACTCCATAACTTTGATTTTAACAAACTGGATTTTAATCGTCATAAGTCTGAATTTTGTGGAGGAAGGATGCCACCATTAGCAATGTTGTGGAACTCATTACTGTTAGCATAGAGTAACAAGTAAACATCCAAACACTGATGATTGTTCCACCTGGACCCACCAAACCTGTGAGATCCAGTTCATTATGGACCAACTTTCTGCATTATCATGTTGAAAAAAAAAACAGTAAAAAATAAATAAATAAATAAATAAAGGACAATTTCCCTAAACTTTTGCCACAAAGTTGTAAGCTCTGTTGTCTAAATATCACTGTATGCCAGGGGTGTCCACATACTTCTGGCCCCTGTGCATTAACTCTCTCACACCCAACCAAGTGTTGCCCCCAGACCTCCGTACGTCACTGCCGGAAGACACGCCCACCAGGCTTTCTCTCAGCGCATTTCCGGAAAAGTTCAGCAAGCTGCAGCTGCCTCACCTTTATTCTGTGTCTGCAAAGAGTCTTAGGACTTCCAAAAGTTTATAAAAAACATGAGTGATATCAACCCGAACGATTCGGCTCCAGCTGACGACGGAGAGGAGAAAGACTGGGCTGCGGCCAAAGCTTTTTTTGACAACCTCAAAACAAAGACACCGAGACCTGTGAGTATTTCCCTGAAAAAGTTTACTACCATAAGTGTGTGTGTGTGTGTTAGCTGCGCATACTTTCTTGCATACACTGTGTGTGGCTTTATAAGTGCTAAACAAACCTACTGTTGCATGCACATTCATCCTGTCACAGCCCAAACCCCGGTATGCTGTCACCATCGCTGTCTCCTCACGCACCCTCTTCAACATGATGGCAGAGAGGAAGATCTATGAGGAAGAAGGACTGGAGAAGTATGTGGCTCATCAGGTGGAGCATGAAAACGAGCCTCTGAAGCCAGGACCTGCTTTCCCCTTCGTCAAGGTAGGCCTGAAGCCCCCCTGCTGCAAGTCTCTGCAGGGTGTTTGCAGGGTGTTTGTAGGGTTTAGTCCCTGAAATTGAGCTTAAAGCAGGTTGTTGACACAGTCCACACCAAGAGCAACTTGCTGTGAAGACTGTGATCTCTGCATGCTGGTTTTTTTTTAGCCCCGTATCCTGATCTAGAGTTTAGCTGAGACTATTTAAGGGATATTGCATGTAAGGCCACACCTCAGTGAGTCATGTATTTGGCATTTGGCACTGTCGGATTCACTGCAATTGTAAAAAATGTTACTTCCTTTAAGTTAGGTGTTTTCTTTACTGTCTGTTCATTCATTCTTTAAACGTCCGATATCAGGAGGTCATGTCATCCACTTCTGCTATGATAGAGGTTCCTCACTGACTTCTAATTTCCTCATTTAGAGACAAACAAATCCAGACTTTCCTCTGCTAAAGAGCAAAAAAGAGAGCTTTTTGCCTTCAAAACCGCTTCACTCCTTCCTGGTATGCAGTCATACAACCCATGAAATCATACCAGTCTTTAGCAAGAAAATCTACATTTTTTGAAGGATGAAAAGGTGGAAAAACCTACTGTTCAACTTACCATAAAGGTTGGTTGATGTTCTGAGCTGGTGATTGTGCAGACTTGCTGTTCCTCAGCCCACTCTGGGGCATTGTCACCATGATTGCATCTTGTTTGTGTAAAATGATCTTCGCTGTTACGCAACACTTCTCAGTGAGGAGCTATACAGACCTGCCACCGCAGCTGGCAGCAGACACTGTGGGTTTAAGGCTTCGTTTGGCTTTCTTCAAATGTAAACCTGCCTGGATGTCGGGTATAAAGTGATCAATGACTCACTGGAACATGTTAATTATTTCCATTGCACCATCGCTCCTTGTCTTCTCTACAAGCAGCTTTTTAATGACAGAAATGCCACAATAACACCCTTTTTTTTTAGCTGAAACTGAGTAACAGATGTGTTGGTTTAATTCCTCTGAATGACTACACTTTGTTTGCTGCACTAGAAATTACTTACTTACCAGTATAGAAGTTATAATTGCTTCAATATATGGATATACACTCAGTTGCCAGTTTATTACACCTAGCTCAAACTAATGCAGTCTAATACAACAGTCCTGTAATAATTCCCATTTTTATGAAAGTTATAATTGTGACTCTTTGTTGATGCTGTTTTAGAAAGGTGTTTATGGTCATTTTGGAAGCTGTAATTTGTGTTGCTGTTGCATTATAAGGGGCTATAGTGAGAGATGTTTCTTATATTTAGCCTACACTCATTTATATAAACAGTGTGGACAAAATATTAGAAACACTTCTCATTATAATACAACAACAGCGCCACTCACTAGAGCCTACAAAATAAACATTTGAACCTTTGTGAAGGTAGAACTTATTGCAGGACTGGTGTATTGTAGTGTACCTAATAACCAACTTCGAAGATATTTAGGATTTATCATATATGTTCATCACTTACTTCCAAATCCCTCAAATTTGTTAATTATAAAAATGGCCAGGCTAGGTACCGATGGGACATTTTCCAGTTAAAAAACAAATTTCTCTGTCATGACGTCAGCTTCTAACCTACCTCAAACATATCCTTGACATTTCTGTTCTGTAATATTATGTTACTTATCAGCTGAAGTATACACTGATACCAATATACCTGTGATACGACACCATTATGTGATACTGATGATGGCCTTTGTGGTTTACAAATCACATTCCTTTCTTTCAGTCTTGTTTTAATGCCCTGAAGTTCTCTTTTTTTTAAACCGTGTTACTAAACTGTGGTTCAAATGTTCTACAGTTTGTGTTGTAACCTCATGTTGAACGCTCTGACACAAGATCCTGTCTTTTGGCGTAACGCAGTCTGTCCTCTCACACAGGCGCTGATGAATGTCAACTCTCGTCTGAGGGAGCTTTATCCAGACAGCGAGGAGCTGTTTGACATCGTATTAATGACTAACAACCATGCCCAAGTCGGAGTGCGCCTCATAAACAGCATTAATTACTATGGTACGCTGCGCCCTATACCAAACATTGTTGATTGTTTCAGCACGGTGGCGGCTCGCCCGCTGCAGCAGCAACAGGCATAATGAAGAACAGCACCCAGTCCAGTAATTACACAGTAGAAATGAAGAAGAGCTGTTATAGTGTAATTAGAATGGGGATTTCTTTCTTCAGCACTCTCTAACTTGCTTTTATACTTTGCAGATCTGACCATAGAGAGATTCTGTATGACAGGAGGGAAAAGTCCCACAGGCTACCTAAAGGCGTACATGACAAACCTTTACCTCTCCAAGGACTCGGAGAAAGTCACAGAGGCCATCGAGGAAGGTAAGTTGGATTATAACCCTGATTTCTATCACACACAACTTTACTGCTTAATAAATACATCAGTACACCAGCAGCCTAGAGGTGTATTTGTACCACACTGATATTCACACACTTGCATGTTGATTTTGTGTGTGACTCATTCTCGACCCCACACTACGCAGCGAGAAGGAGCTGGTTGAAGACAGCATGTGATTTATGGCTCCCTGTCTAGCTTCTTAAATCTGTTGATTTGCTGTTTTTTTATCTGTTTTCTGTCACTGTAAATTCAAAATAAGGTATTTGAAGATGTCACTTTGGGATCCGGGGAACTATGATCGTGTAACACTTTATAATACAGTTCCTAGTACTGTAACCAATAAGTCAATCAGTATTTATAACAATACAGGTATAATTTATTTCTCTCTATAATTTATTTTTATTTGCAGGCTGCATTATAAAACTTACCATTTCTTTCCATAACCCTTTGACATCTTATTAACTAAATGATTTATATATTAATAAAATAATCTATAAATGATTTGATACAGAAAATAATCATTATTTGCAGCACTACTCCTATACATTTTATAATAAAATTCATTTTAAGTGTCTCAAAATTACAGATATCCATATCTAAGCCCACATTCGTGCAAAAACATGTGATGCATGCTAACACTGCCTCAACCATGGCAGGATTTCAAATCAGGCTGATCTGACCCGTACACGGACAGACTTGAAATACAAATGAATAACAGCCAGTAATTGATGTATACCACCACCTATTAAAGGCTCCAGATTTATTTATAAGGACGTGGATGATCAGAGCAGGCTTTTCCTTGATGACAACAGATTTACAGTCCTGAAATCCTTCAGCATATTCCTTTTAAAGATGAACAATTTCTGACCCCAAGCATGCTTTTAACCATCCCTTCCCTCCTTCAGGCATTGCTGCAGCCACCATGTTTATGCAAGAAACAGATAAAGAGAATGAGTTGAGCAACACGCAGCTGAGAGTGGCGTTTGATGGCGACGCCGTCCTCTTCTCGGACGAGTCTGAGATCATTGTCAAGAAACACGGCCTGGACACCTTCTTTGAGCACGAGAAGGAGTTTGAGAACAAACCTCTTGCTCAGGTAACTGATGGTTGTTTCTGTGTACTTGAACATCGCTGGCACTATCTAGAATATACTGTATATAAAAGAACAAGGGGTGAAGTGACATTCTGTAAAAATTGCACAGGTTTTTTTAGGTTTGTTGAGTTTTCCTCTCTTCATTGAATACTGCAGATTTACCTTCATAAACAAATTCCTCTGTCTGGGTTTCAGCTGATAGATTTATTGTGCTTTGATGGCTGAAATAATCTTTCAGAAGCTTTTCAACCCTTTGGTCAGAAAGTGTCGGTCACCCTCAAAAGATTTCTTTGCTGGGATTCATGTGAATGTGAACGGCCCATTAATGATTGGTTGTAGCTGCAAATCCACATAAAAAGAGTTGTTTTTACGAGTATAACACACCCAAATCTCTGAGGGGTAATGTAGGCGGCGGGTTTTGAAAAGGAAGAATAATGTGTGGAATAAAAAATATGATGCAGCATCAATTTGTTTTCTTTTAACTGCCCATTGCTAAGTACTCTCAAGTCTTCTCTGTTATTGGTTTAGGTTTTCTGTTTGCACATGCTATATCCAGCGGCAGAAACCCCAGATAACATAAATAAAACAGATGTGACAGGAGAGGTCAAGGAGCCACAGGCGCAATAAGAAACACACAAGCTGAACAGAAGAGTTCACCCAGTCTTATCAGCTATCACAACAACACCTGTATGGGTCAAAGCAAGGCTGTGGGAAATGTCTGCAGGGTTTGGGAACCTGCTCTGCTGGCTCTAAATGTATTTCAAATCAACTCAGGCATCACTGTTGTCCTTGTGTGCCCTGGTGTGTGTGCGTGTGTTTTATACTTTATATTTGCATGCTATTATCAATATGCTCAATCAAAAAGCAGTTGCATAATCATAGAACAATTTTTCAGATGCCAGTGTGTAGATCAATCTAGTATAAAGAAACGATAACAAAGAGGAAGAGAGAGATTTTTCTATTAATTAAAAAATAATCCTAACTACATATACACATTTCATTTATATAAAGATGCTGGTGTCGGGACTGATTAGACTTTAATCTGTCCCTGTGTTGCTTATTTAAAAACTTTATGAATTAATTAAATTATTTGTCTGTTTTCAGGGTCCCTTGAAGTGTTTCCTGGAGTCTCTCGGGAAACTACAGAGAAAATTCTACGCCAAGAACGAGCGTATGAACTGTCCCATCCGAACCTTCCTGGTCACGGCCCGCAGCGCTGCCAGCTCTGGGGCTCGTGTCCTGAAGACTCTCCGCAGCTGGGGCCTGGAGATCGACGAGGCTCTCTTCCTGGCCGGGGCACCCAAAGGGCCCCTGCTGCAGAAGATAAAACCGCACATCTTCTTTGACGATCAGATGTTCCACATTGACGGGGCCAAGGAACTAGGAACCATATCTGCACACGTCCCCTACGGGATCGGACAGAAGTACCACAAGGGGAAACTCATCGAGCAGCCTGCAAAAAAGGAGTAACCTAAAAACGGTTAAAATATTAAGGATGCACTACGTTGGTTTCCGACAAACTAAAATATTGTGTTCAGGAAAAACAAAGAATAACGGCTACTTTTATAGGATTTAGGTATGTAATTGGTAATGCAGTCTACAAAGTTTCCTACTTTTTCAGGGTTTTATAAATATTTGATGCTGTTTTGTTTTGGGATAGGGTATTATTGATGAGTGGGGGAATGTATTTTCAATTAGTTAGAGTTACAATAGGTGCCATACACTATTTCCACTTAATACTGTTTTGGAAGAGAAACACCAGATTAATTACTTATCAGTGCCTTTTAATCATACAACTGGTGTACCTGTTTATGTTCTTTTTTTTTTTTTTACATTGAAGTATTGACAGTACATATATATGTCAGTATATGTGTATTGCAGTTAGTCGTTTTCTTTACACTTTTATGGGCTTTTTTTATCTTGTTTTTCGACTTAAAAATCAACAGCCAGGTAAAACAAAATGGCAACCAAAACAATATACTACACATTTTGCATGTGTATATTAGTTAAGGGCTATATATTTGTATGGCTTATAACGAACAATGATGCTGTCATTCCTTTCTACTGTTTTTGCTGTTAATGTGCACAAACTGCATAAAACATTTACCCTTTATATCCCTCAAACTTTTATACTCGTGTTCTGCGAGTTTCCGCTTTTACTTTGGACCTGGATATAATGCAGCACAATGTTACTGCACTTTTCTAATGTGTTTTTATATACTGTAGGTCGGACTACATTATGTTCTATATGTTTGCAGATTGTATTGTATGTTCCTGTCTATTGCACAGATATGAAAATGTATGCATAACTAAACATTATTGAGGAGTTATTGAGGAGTTTCACAGTTACACTCACTCATTGGTAAATGTTCATATCATGTCTGGTGACATTTCTCAATGACAGATCAAGTGGTATTTTGTATCGATTGTATTCGTCTTGTGACAACAATAAAATCAATTTTGAAACATTTAATGATTTTACATGTTATATATTTATATTATATTTTCTAACTTTTAGCCCCTTTAACTTTTATAGCTATTGAGTGCAAAGGAAGTAGTTGGATGAAATAAGGAATGTCTTTGCCATCAGGGGAAAGTAATTAAGTACAATTTTTAGGTACTTTTACATGTTCTACTTTATACTTCTGCTCCAATGTATTTCAGGGGGAAATATTGTACTTTTTACTAGATTGCATGTAGATCATGCTTCATTTAAATTAATTTATATCATGTTGAAGCAAGTAATTCCCAACCTTTATGGCTTGTGACCTGTTACAAAAAGTTGTCTAATAATAATAATAAAGGGATTTCTCCTCTATACTTTGCAGATGGTTTAAGGCTTCTGAAAAGTCCAAAAAAAAAAGAATACAAATATATGTAGCACAGCTTTGTGCTTCTATCTCATTAATCATCTCATAACCCTAAGATTCATGTTGGGAGGGGCCCAGACCTCTAGCCTGGGAATCACTGGAGTAACCTCCAACCTGTATGTTAAGTATAAAATACTACACGTGTATTGATATCGTATTGATTTCATATTTTTATATTGTTAAATATAATAATTTTACTTAAAACGTAAATGATCTAAGAACTTCCCCCACCACTGTTCTTTGTACATTTTAGCAGTAGATGGTGCTATTTGGCTGTAATTGTCCACCAGGATGATTTAAACATTTCTTGTTAAACCCAAGGCCTCGTGTTTGGCAAGGAGTCACTTCCTTGTGAAAGTTCACCAGTTGAGAGGTGAAGAGGTGAAACTTCAGCCATGTATCTTTGGGCAGATCTGTCCTGTCATTAAACCTCAATGTCAGTGTCTGGCCAACCTCAGCTGATGGAGATCCACTCTCATCTTACATGCACATTGTGGAAGAAGCCACAAGAGGGAGCCCATGTTTAACTAGATTGGGATGTTACAGAGAGGAGGAGCAATTTAAGAAACCCCACTTTCTGTGTCTTCATTTTCTGGAGAAGCTATACAGAATAATGAAAAACGGGAAAACATCACCAGAAAACACAATTTAGACTTAAAGGTGAAATCAAAATAAAGCATACACTAAATATATCTCAATGCAACAAGAACCCATTTGACGAAAACATGTTGATACCTGAGACAACGTACGATGCTTTGGGGTTTACTCTTTTTACTGATCTCTCTCACTCAGCCCATTTTTCCAGGTACCAAAATATCACTGCAAAGCACAGCAAGAACAACAAAATGCTAATCTGCTTTCAGTGAACTAACATTAGGCCTAATTGGAAGTTAATGAGCTATCCTGCTGTACCAGATATATTAAAATAGCTGAGGTTTATCCTTCTTGGACGAAAATAACACCTCATTTAAGGTAGGCCTATATATAGTGGAAAATAGCATTATTAATAAGGGTTCAGACATTTTCAGGTGTTTATGTTCTCACAGACTGACCACTAACTGCACTTGTATAACATCGTTGGACTCATGGTGGACAGGTTAAAAAAAATGATCAAAATTGATGCCTTCTTCCTTGTCGAAACCTGGTGCCTACATTACCCACAGTGCAACTCGACTATCAACAGTTGGCCTCGGAGATTTGGTCGTGCCATGCTACTAGCTGCTTATGTAACCTCGAGCTGCTAGCCTCAAGCAGAGATGAGGAGCGGGCTACAGAAGTCTGCTACGCTCACTTCTTTCTAGCTCCACACCCTCCAGATTCTTTTCATTTTCAGAGTCGTAGTCTTCAGCCCCCAAACCGACGCCGACTCAAGTGACATCACTTGAGGCAGTCTCATGTAGCTCCCTCTGGAAGCGAAAAAAAAGCTTTACACAGCTTTCACATTGTGCAGTAGTAGCCTACTCTCCAAGACCTGCGGACTCTGATGTGTGAAGTTAGTTCCCGTTTAAGTAATAAAATTATTAGTAAAATGTAGTAAAAGCATGAAAAGTAAAAGCACTCAAAGCATAGCATTGTTGTAGTCTTAAATATCTCATTGTAATGTTATTATTGTTGCAACCGGGTGTATAGCATTTAATGTTGTAGTTTATTATGATCAAGATAATATAACAATTTTATACACTGTTTCAATCTGTATCATATTTTGAAGACCACCATATGTCATAAATGTAGTGGTGTCAAAAGTATTATATTTCCCTCTGAAATGTAGCAGTGTAGAAGTATAAAATGATTTAAAAAATGCCTGGTAATACACAATTAATGTAATTTGTATGTTATAGCATAGTACTTGAGTCAATGTAGTTGAATTCTACCTCTATATACTGAAGATGCAGGAAGGGACACATTTTTAGAGATTGTCTTGCTTGATCCTATTTTGCTTGGTTTGAATTTAGCAACAGGCATCTTTACCAATTCTGGTCACTATGGTAATGGCGCTGAGTATTGTTTCCTGCCTATGAGAGTGTGAGAAAGAAGAAGCATGTGAGCCTCGATGCTCGGAAGGGGGCAGGATTTATTTTAATTTTATTGTATATTTTTCAACAGTGGAGTTATTCATCTTTTCAGCGAGGCACGGTTTTGTCAGGCAGCAGAGAGTGTGTGTGTATGTGTGCGCGCATCCCTGAAAGCTGGGACCAACCGGCTGTTGCCATGGATACTCGGTGCTGACACCACAAGAACTGTGTAGGCTTGTTGAAGATATAATTAATAACAAAGGATTAGAGGCAAAGGTAGCATGGGGCTCAGTATGAGAAACCTCATCACACAGTTACTATAATTGGCAACCTTTGTGTGTGTGTGTGTGTGTGTGTGTCCGTGTGTGTGTCCGTGTGTGTCCGTGTGTGTGTCTGTGTGTGTGTGTGTAAGGACACCACAAGAAAAGTTACCGAAAAATAACCGTGGAAACAGTACTCTCATACACTGCCGCCACATTTATCTTCTTGACAAGCAATTTGCTCTAAATATGTTTTCTTGGTTGGTGGCCAGAAACTTGTAGGTAGATGTTTTCTGAAAGTAATTTATTTGGACCAACATTACCTCGGTGGGTGCCTTGATGCACACTACATACTGGATATCTTGGGAACGTTTATTAAACATAATGAGATAATTGATATCTATTTAATAAACTGTAGCTTTACACATGGATGCACAGAAGCTTTGTCTATTGTTTACACAGAGCACAGGCTAGAATAACGTGGTTTTAGCCACACTAGGGTGAGACTGTGGATGCTACTATTACATTTTGTACAGGCATTCATGGTCATCAGAAGACAAAGCTTAATGACTTTGGTTATTCTCTGTCTTTACCTTTAGCACCACCATCAAGCTGATAATTTAGCTTTTAGTAAAATGTCTCAAAAACAGATGTTTGATACAGGTATATGTGCTGTTCAGAGGATGATATTTATGGTTTCTGGCTAAATAAGTTCTTAAAGTTTGGATAGATTGCCATGAAATTTGGTACAGACATCCATGTCCCCCTCAGGATGAATAAACCTTTTTCACAGCAGCCATATTATCAATGATACTAATTAAGATTCAGTTCCATTCAGGTCAAACAGAGTGCTGGTAAAATGGTACTTTACTATTTTATGTCAAAATGACTGCTGTGGAAAAAAAGGTCACTTGTAAAAACTTTGCTCATCCCTTAAAGGTCCAGTGTGTAACATATATATAATATATTATATTATATATATGATATGATATGATATTCATAGGTATGTTTTTATTACCCAATAAGCACCTGAAAATTAGAATTGTTTGGTTTTTGTTACCTTAAAATGAGACAGCAGCCCAGAATAGACAAAGCAAACACTGGCTCTAGATAGGGCATTTTGTGGCCGTTATAGCTTCTCCTACACCTCCTCCTAGCTTCTCCTACCCCTCCTACATGGAGGCTGAGCTGTATTCAGTTGTTTGCAACCTGTAACTTCACCACAAGAGGCCACTGAATCGAACACACTGGTCCTTTAACTTTTTACCTAGAGCCATCATCAGGCCACAATTTCAATTTGTCCAGTACTTTTGTTTATGACAAAATACCTGCAAAACTAATGACATTCCCATCAGCCTCTGCTGCAATTGTGTTAAGTGCGGTAATGGTTATGAATAGTTGTATGGGAGAATAATATTAGTAGAACAAATAGTTCAGCTCAATAATTAATGGCATTTGAAAGTAAAGTAGCCTAGTCCAAAAGTTAACTAAAGCACCTAATGTAAGCTAAATCTAATCACAACAACCCTGCACTAAATCCCACCCTGAGGTGATAATGTTCAGGTTTTCTTTTATATTATTTTAGAGAGGTGTTCTTTCAACTTTATGATAATTTTAGAGGATGTAGGTATTGGTGCGGTTGAGCTGTATGGCGTAACAGAGAGCTGTTTCTGTTATTTAGTCTAAATGGGATGTTAACTAATTAACTAATGTTTAAGTCATTAGTAATAAATGGGTCGTTACTAGTTTTGTGCCATTCAGCGGCTGCTTTAGACTTAATTAGGAACAACTCATTAAGAAAGTGGTCAGAATGATCAATTCACGGATATTAATGAACCAATCGTTACCTAATGATTCATGAGGATCTTCCAGTCTGATCATTATCTACTACATAGTCCCCCATTAGGAATTATTAGTGAAATACTGATTAATGATTCATCGATTACCAAGTTGTTTCTAAACGTTCCTCAGACTTGTTTCTTAACTAACCAATTATTAACTAATCATTAGGGCTACTCTTTTTCTTTGTTTCATTAGGAGTTGCTCATTAACTAATGGTTCACTATTCGTTCCTGTTTTGTTCCTTTGTAACGACTCAAAATGTTGTGTCCCTTGTTGTGAAGTGTCACCAGGACTTCTTCTGTTGCCTTTCTGTCGATGAAGTGGGAATTTCTGCAGGTGGCGCTCGTTTCTTCATCTGTTCAACCGTGAAGTCTGTCGACGCTCGTGATAACAGCTCAGTTAATCTGCTGCACGATGCTACAGTCACCATTTGCTGTGTGACTGAGTTGGGGGAGCACACACACAGTTGCATGACAGGCTCTGTTGACA